ATCTACTCAAAAGCAATAGTCAGTAGTATAATAACACTTTTTTGAAAATTTACCGATGCACAGATTTCATGGCTAATAAATATTTCATCGGATTCATCTTCCTTGATTTAATTAGCTTGTTATCTTCAGTGTGTAGCTGACAACTTGATTTCACAGCAGTATTTTGTAAATGACAAGTTAAGGCATTTAATAAATTAAGTTATTTACCGCACTGCTGTTTAGAATGATGCTTTTATTATTGTACTATATCTCGTTTGATTTCTAAAACCCTTAAACAGAGTAGCCGAGTAACATTCATGCAACTAACGGCGTTTTTAAGGAGTAGGTAAGAGTGGAGTGATTACTTGAATAGTCTCGTGTTGCAAACATGCAATGGTTATTGAGACGTCGACGTTGAAAATTCAACGCGTGAATACTGTTTAAATCTCATAATGTGTAGTGTACATTGAACCTTTGAACTTTTGTTTCAACGCATTCACCCACTTTTGGCACTACTTCCTCTTTTGACTTGTGACTCGCCTGTACATACTTGGTTCGCTCTCTCGTTGTGCTTTCATTCAGCGCACTCTTCGAGCCTACCATCAGTCAGGGCAGCAGATAAGTTGTATAACACCTTTATTTATTAAATTTGATATTTAATTTGTGTAAAAATACAACTCCATCCCAGACACACTTCCCACGTCTCAAGTCTTTTCACTTTGATTCCATTCGTCAGTACTTACACATCAGGTAGAGTACTGCTAAGGTTATAAAGTGATGTAGTGTGGTTAGTTTGCAGTCTACCTTAAGTCTAGTCTAACACTTACAAATGCAAAAGTAACAGAAGTTTGTCAGATTTCTGGTTCTGCGGTTTTACTCCTCTGGAGTGTTTGAATGTTTGGAATTCCATGCTGTCCTGGGAATGTAAGTAACGAATAGTACACCAATAAGTGAACGCCGTTTGAGAGAAGTTTTCGCAAACCAACCAGCGTATTCACAGATGTGGTTCGACAGATTAAATGGTTTCACAAATTAATCTTCAGTTGGATTGTGGTGATCTGATTGTCAACAGATGTGATTAGCGACCAACTTCAATTTAGGGATTTTCGCGAAATCAGGGAATACTGGACGGCTTTCGTCACTAAAAGTTTAAACCAAAAAACTCTAGTAACCTCTGTTTGCTGAGAGGCTGTAAGTGACCTATCTTTTGCTGAGCAATTCATACGCAAGATGATGAGTGAACATGGAGTTGTACGTATTCACTTTAAGTGTGTGGAGTACTCAACAATATGATTGTACACTTTTTGTTAGTTGTTGAAATTAAAGACATTGTACATGATTTTTGTTTAAAACGACTCATGTTTAAATATATGTAATTTCCGGACACAATTCGAAATACAAGATATACTGTTGGTGGTTTCGCCTTCTCACTGGCCGTTCCTGTCTACTTGCTCAACTCATACCGTGTTGTATACCTTGGATTTATTGCAGGAATCTATTATCCTTATCCGAAGACAACTCTACAACCGGCGCACAGCTCCTACCAGTAGACACAATTCCAACAGTGAACACTTCTGTGGATTATATTAATAATTTTTAGCAGTGGACTTTAACAAGATATCCAAGTAACCTTTTTATTAACATAACTTATGACTGCGTTTTTGATAATATATATTGTTACACTATCATCTCATTGACTTGCATTTTTATTTGCATATTTATCATGTTACTAAGTTCTGTAGACAGTCCTGTACAAGTGTACCTGGATAACCTGAAAATATATCTTAGGCTGTCAGCCTTGTGTGCTTCTGACAGTGATCTGAACACATCCGGTCTATCCTCCATGGTTTCCTATGACATTTGTATTATCAAACTTCCTCTCAGATATCCAGAACGATGTTTGGAAGGGTAACTTTCAGCACTTTCGGCTAAATCAAAAAGGTAGGGTTTGTCAAAGTTGAGACAATAAGATAACAATTATACTACAAACCTCTAATCGGGGGATGTTTAGACTCATTACCGTTGTAACTAGTGTCACAATACGTCAGAGAAACAAACTTCGGAGCTATGCGTAACGATCTTCAGTCCAAAAACAGAATCGGGAGAACACACTGCGCAAGAGAAAGTCAACGGTGACAAGTAAGTTTGACAAGATACTAGAGCACAGATTAGACATGTGTTGCCATAGAAGTTTACCCGTGGGATAAGGATTCTTAAAGAATGTTGACATAGTAGACTGGATAAAGGCCTATGGAGATGAGCTACTGTGACAACGTCAAAACGGAGGGAAGGATGTAAATTTGTGCTACTTGTCAATAACTAGTGGCATAACATTGGGCGGAAAATGAAGGCACTCAAGGAGGACAGTGATCACAGGAAATGAGAGTAAGTTTATCTGTTAATGTAACAGCAAAGATTCGAATGAAGCAACAGAACGCCAGTTCGTTAAAACTTTGAAGTCTTTAAAAAATGAAAATCTAATTGATAGTTCCATATTCGACGCTATTAAACCCACTGGAACTCATACGCCTAGACTTTATGGCTTACTCAAGATACATAAGCAGGGAATTCCCCTACGACTAATCCTGGACATGTCGAACTCGCCCTTCCATTTAACTGCCAAATGGTTAGCAAATCTGTTAGAACCCCATACATCACCAGTTGGTAAAATATAGTGTAAAAATGTCTTTGGCTTTGTTGAAAACATTAAAGATATGAACCTAGCAGACAAAACCATGTTATCGTTAGACGTAACATCACTATTTACCAACGTCTCCCTTGTAGAAACTGTCGACTACATATTCTAGCAACTCGTAGAAAAGAAAATAGAAATTGGGATCACACCAAGAAAATTGAAAGAATTACTACTAAAATGCACTATGAATGTTCAATTTGTATTTAATAAGGAGTACTACCGCCAAATAAATGAGGTTGCTATGGGTTCTCCCCTTGGTTCCTTACTAGCTGACATATTTCTATCTAAATTGGGAAATGGTCCCTTGAAAGAGATACTAAACAAACTCGATTATTATTGTCGATATGTTGACGATACCTTTATCATTTGCAACAATAATCTGGATAGACAACACCTGCTCCAAGTCTTCAACAAGGTACACCCAGTTATTAAATTCACTTGTGAAGAGCAACTCCAAGGTAGCATTCCATTTCTAGATGTTCTACTTACAAAAAGAACAGACGACACCTTAAAGAGAAACATCTATAGGAAAGCGACATGGAATGGACACTTCCACAGCTTCGTACCTATACAATATAAGCGCAACCTGATTCGTTGTCTGAGCCATAGAATTAGACGCATATGCACCGACGACTGCATTGAAGGTGAAATAAGAAATCTTACAAACGCCTTGCTACAAAACGACTATCCTACCAACTTTGTAAAGAAGTATATCTATGAAACTACACATAAAATGAAGCGAGACACAGTAAGTAAGAAAAAGCTCTATTTAAATTTACAGTTCAAAGGCGATATATCCAGAGATATTTAAACCGTAGATTAACGAGAGCAGTTGAAAGAACTTTCAATGCCGCAAAACTGCATGTCACTTTCTCAGCCAAACCGATATTGACACTGTGCATTAAAGATAGATTACCCAAAATGACGACATCAATGTGTGTATATAAATTGCACTGCTACTGTGGAGCTAGTTATATAGGTCCTACCCAACGGAATTTATCTTTACGCATTCGTGAACATATCCCTGTTTAGCTTGGGAAAAGAGCAACCAAACCATTAAATAGTGCGATTCTGTCGCATCTAGTGGATAGCGAACACAACATCAAAGTAGATGAGTCATTTACAGTTGTGTATCGAGTACCGAATAATCTCCCCAAAGGTACACGATTGCGCCTCCTAGCCATAGCTGAGGCATTAGAGATTAATAGAGAAAGAACAGACTTACGTGTACAGAAAAAACTCATTCACTCTCTCTGTCTACCCTGGCCCACTACAAGGTCACCAGGATCATAATTTTCCGTATTATTATTACGATTATTATCATTTTGTGATATCATGTCTTTATTATCCATTTCTCCACCCAGTTTATTTCACTCATTGTTACCCTTAGTTTTTTGTCAACCTTTGTGATTTTATATTAAGCCTACCTATTCTGTAACATCTTATTACAATTTACAATTTAGCCTCTTTATTTTATCATTAGACATTATCGGTCAGCCCTCACATTCAGTGTCCCCTTTGTTAACGTGTGTTTGTATGTATTTTGTGGCTAGCGCATTTCTCTCACCCCAATGACACTTGTATTCTGTTGACTATAAAACAGCACTATATCACCCAACTGTTCATTCACACTTCATCACATTTTCTGACTATACACCCTATACACATTTGATTGATTATGTTAACTAATGGACTATTGTTGCGTGTTCTATTTGACTAAATTAGCGTACACGTATTTCCTAGTACTTCTTCACGTTTATCAATGTGCATACACATTGTGGCTACTCGACGCCCACAACGTAAAATCAGAAGGCACTTGTGAAGAGTGTAATCGTGTATTCTATCAGTAGTCAAATTTCAAAATTGTATCAAGGTAACGTTCAACAGTAAATTGACAAATGTTTACGAAGTACATATAAAATCGGTATGTGTAAACATATAATATGAGTATGCAAACTAGATTAAAAACGTATGTTTATAGTTGGTATAGGGGTACTACATAATTCCCCCACCAGAACACTGAAATATAAAAAAGTGCATTTAAGTGTTCAACAAAAACATGCATCAGCGTAATATGCAGCAGAGATAGTACATAGAAAGCGATTTATTAAGCTGAAAAATGAGCAGTTTAATGCGGTCAATAAGGCCGATAATAAATGCGATAATAAAAGAAAAAATAGGATTGATGATCGTGGTAGAATATATAAGGAATGATACAATCGGCCGGGGATCTGTAGTCTGTATACGGAAACGATACGTGAATATTAAGCGCTATATGATTAGATGTAATAATACAGGGAATATCGATGTTAAAATAGTAGTGACGTGATTTACGTATGAAAATATCAATCAGTTAAATGAGTAGTCAAATGACAATTACGAATAAAGATAATAAAAATGAAAATTCGTAGTAAGTTATATTTTGATGATTTGCACATAACGTTTAGGCCAATGAACTCTCCTACCAGAGCGTGTAGTTTTCATAGGTTTCTCTGGCGACGTTGAAGCTTGCGTGGATGTAGCTGTTGGCACGTCGTTCAGCTGGTCTTTATCGTTGGCTTCGAAATCATCGATGAACGCTGGTTTGACTCTGTCGACACTGATGGCTTCTGCTTTATTCAGTCGTTCTATCGTGATAATTTTATCGTTTCTATTTAGAACTTTGAATGGGCCATCATAAGCGGGTTGAAGTGGTCGTTGTACACCCTCTCTCCTGACGAAGACGTGGGTGCAATCTGTCAGTTGTGGCGGGATGTATGACGCTCGTTCCTGCTGGCGTGGAAGTGATATCTTAAGTTCGTTCATGTGTTGTTTTAGCTGGTGCACATAACCAGTCATATCTTGTGGAACTTGGTTACCCGGGGTGAAAAATTCTCCTGGTAATCGTAATGTTGTTCCATAGACTAGTTCGGAAACACAGCAGCCAATATCTTTCTTTAGAGCAGCTCGTATACCAAGTAGTACCAGTGGGAGTTTGGTTGACCAGTCGTTTTGAGTCAAAGGAGCAGCGAGCGCAGCTTTGAGTTGTCGATGAAGTCGTTCAACCATACCGTTGCAACTAGGATGGTAGGCGGTTGTTCGTATTCGTTTAATGCCCAGTAATTCAGTTAGCTGGTTAAAAAGTCGGCTTTCAAACTGAGCACCTCCGTCTGTAGTGATGATGGATGGGACACCAAAGTTAGCTATCCAGTTTTCGACCAAAGCTTCAGCTACCGTTTCAGCGGAGACGTCGGCTATTGGAACTGCTACAAGCCAACGAGTGAATCTATCGATGCAAGTTAGAATGTAGTTGAAACCTTTGGAAGGAGGCAGTGAACCAACTATGTCTACATGTATATGTTCAAATCTACAGTCGGGGTTAGGAAAGCGACCAAGTGGTGCATTGGTGTGACGGTTGATTTTGACTCTTTGACAGGACAAGCAATTTCGTGTCCACTTCTTAACATTGCTGTTAATGTTCGGCCATATAAATCTTTCTTTTAGTAGTTTGATAGTAGCGCTGACACCGGGATGAGACAAGTTATGTAACTTCTCGAATACTGTATGTCTCATAGCTGCCGGAACGAAAGGTCGATATTTACCCGTAGAGGTATCGCAGATTATTTTTGTCGGGCCAAAAGGTATTGCGTCGAGTTTTAAAGATGTTGTTTTAGAAGACATGATCTTCTTTAGTTCAAGATCATTTCGTTGTAAGTTTGAGAGACGTTCGTAGTCGATGTCTGGGCATGCAATGTTGTCAATATGCACACGTGATAAAGCGTCTGCCACTTCATTGTTTTTACCCTTTACGTGTCGCAGATCGGAGGTGAACTGAGATATAAACTCGAGATGTCGTAGTTCACGCGGAGAGTAGTTATCCTGTTTTGCTGATAAGGCTTTCGTTAGACCTTTATGGTCTGTAAAGACAGTAAAAGCTGTACTTTCCAGCATATGTCGAAAGTGCTTGATTGCTAAATAAACAGCCAATAACTCTCTACCAAAGGTGCTATAGCGACATTGAGTAGGATTCAGTCGTTTCGAAAAGAATGCTAGGGGTTGCCAGTCGCCGTGTACTTGCTGTTGTAAAACTGCCCCAATGGCAACGTCTGAAGCGTCTGTCATGAGAGACAGGGGGCGTCAATTTGGCGTCTGACTAAGAGTGTCTTGTCATTTGACAATTGTTTAACAGTTTCGAATGCTTTAACAGCTTCTGTGGGCAAATGCAATGAACGACTATGTCCACGTAAGCAGCCGGTTAATGGTTGTAAAGCTTTAGCGCAGTTCGGGATAAAACGCCGGTAAAAATTAACGCGACCCAAAAATCGCCGTAATTTCTTAAAAGAATCTGGAAACGGATAATCTTTGATAGCTTGTACGTCATCAGGGACTGGTCTGATTCCTTGGCTGCCGATTAAATGACCGAGGAATTTCAGTCAGGTCTTACCAAATTCGCATTTGTCTAAGTTGATAGTCATGCCGTATTGGTTAAGTCTTTCAAACACAGTCTTCATATGTTTCAAATGCTCGGCTTCGTCTGCACTTGCATAGGTTGCAACAATTTAGAACTTGACCTGACAATTCAAGGCCATGCACTTCAACGACTGGAATCTGTACTGGACCTAGGGCTGAAATATTCACATAACTTATCATTTTCTGAACACATCTCCAAACAAGTGTCAAAGTCACGCAGACTTATCGGCTTTCTACTCAGGAACTTCTACAGAAATGAGTCTAGAATTCTGTTGTACAAGGTTTGTGTGCGTCCTTTATTTGATTACTGTTCATTCATGTATAGTAGCATACGCATAGAGGACAAATTGAAAGTCGAGGGAGTGCAGAGGTACTTCACGTTAAAATTACTCGGAACCGGAAATGGTACGAACTACTCCACTAGATGTGATACCCTAGGACTAGAAACACTATGGCTAAGACGCCTGAGACTAAACTTGACACTTTACTATAAGCTTCTAAACCACTTAGTTTTTACCTCTACTAATGGCACTCGACTTTCAGATGACAATGGCTACAAACTAAGACACACTAAGGGTACAGTAGCTATCGAACAATGTAAAACAGCCACCAGGCAAAAGTTTTACTTGATTAGGTATGCACAGATATGGAATAAACTGCCAATGGAAATGCGTCAAGCAAGTACATTGGCCTCCTTCAAAAAGGTGCTTAATGACAAACTACAAGAGTTTGCAAACGATACTAGTTCTAGTTCCTATCTGAGAGCCTCCGCAATTATAGGTCCATTTAATGTATAAGCTTAAATACTACACCTGTTGTTTTTTGCCTATATTTATAATTCTAGATAAAACATTAACGGTTAACATACGTATCCTCAAACAGACAACAAATCTCGTTTGTAAAACTACTACCCAACACAATAAGTGGAATAAAATGGACATAAACCGACAACATGAAAAAGGTATAACTCACCACAACATCACAAGGACAGATGAACGCTCGTTGGGTACCATATATCCCTCACCAACTGCAACCCACCTTTCCTTAGATAATGTGATGAACTTATACCCATAATGTTGCTGAGCAGTTAATATTCTCAACTCCTGTCGGAACAGCTGAAACTCATAAACCTTCCTAACGCTAAGAAAATACCCGTAATCAGTAGAAATCCATTAATTAATGCGTCCGAAGCTTATGTACTTACTCCCAACAATGACATTGCAGATCAAATGAGATAAACACATCACTGATTTCAAAATAACACATCAATGAACTATAATTCGAGGACTCTGCACACAACAAAGTTATGTATGAATATTTACTTCAAGCTTTATTTTTTTCCCAGGCACTTATAATCCATCCACCAAAGACCTGGTTTTTTTGTTAATGCGAAGACAATACTCCTGTATTTCCTGTTGTGTTGCACTCACTGACAATCTAGCAGATTTTTCCAACTTTGCACAGAAATGATTGTATATAAGTGAAAAGGCTGTTTTATACTACTGGAATTAACATTTATCAAGTGTATGTATAATCTCTATCGAACATGTAAAGCATATCTTGCTACTGGCTGTAAATTGTGATTAAATTATATGGTTCTATTTCTGTAACAATTTGATGATGCCTGTAAACTGGCGTCCCTCATGTACTGTACTATGAGAATAAATTTATTTATTTATTTATTTAATTAGTAAGTCGTCGATGTATGCGTAGACGAAAGGGAGACCACGGAGTATTTGGTCTATTAGGCGTTGAAATGTCTGAGCGGCGTTCATTAGTCCGAAGGGAATGCGTACGAATTCGTATAAGCCAAATGGTGTGGTAATGGCGGTTTTCGGAACGTCATCCGGGTGGATGGGGATATGATGATACGCTCTGACAAGATCGATTTTAGAGAAAACTTTAACATCTGGTAAGTTGCTAGCGAAATCGTGGATATGTGGTATTGGGTATCGATCAGGTACCGTTTGCTTGTTTAAAGCTCGATAATCACCACACGGCCGTATCTCACCATAAGACTTTTTGGGTACCATGTGAAGCGGTGAAGACCAAGAGCTATTGGATGGTCGAATAATACCAAGCTCTAGCATTTTATCGAACTCTGTTTTTGCAATTTTAAGTCTATATTGGTCAAGGCGTCGGGGACGTGCAAAAACTGGTGGTCCAGTGGTTTTAATGTGATGAACCACGTGATGCTTCGGTTCTGTTACTCGAAAAGAAGGTTGTAGAAGGTCAGGAAACTGATTTACCAAATTGGTATATGGAGATGCTGGTGTGCGCGTGACCATCAAGTTCAGTGATGATGCACGGCTAATTGTACCAGCGATGTACGTTTTATTGAGCGAGTCTATTAGCTTAGGGCTTATCTGATCGACTAACAGTTTGTGTTGCTGTAGAAAATCGATACCGAGGATTGGGGATGGAACATCTGCAATGATGAACGACCAAGTGTAAGTATTCTGCAGACCGAAATCCAAAGTCATTCGTTTACTTCCATGTGTAACAATACTGGACTTATTAACAGCTTGGAGCGTGACTGCTGGGTCAGGATGCTGACGTTCCTGTGTAGACGGAGGGAGAACACTCACCTCTGCTCCTGTGTCGACTAAGAATGTAGTACTGGTTTTTTTATCTGTTACATAAAACAAACGACTGTTAGATCGTAGGTTGCCAACAGTAGTTTTCACACATGACAATATATCTTTTGGTTTAGTCTGAAAGTTGCAAGGTGAACGGCACCGTCGTGCATTGCTTCCATAACTACGGTGATACCAGCAAATATTACGCGATGTCGTGACGTGCTAGGGGATCGAAAAAAGACGTCGGCGAGACGAGCTTCTAGAACGGCTTGATTGTGTGCGTGTGGTCAGTTTTGCTAACTTACTCAATAAGGTGTCGACTTTGTGTTCTAGAGTCTGTATTCTATCATGAGTGTCTGGTATTCTGCTAGTGGAAGCGACAGATTGAGGTGCTGACCTCTCGTACATGCGATCCGCGATTTCGGTGAGCCTTTCTATGTCAATGTCGTCGTCTCCGAAAGCAAGCACCTGCTGGATGTTTGCAGGAAGTTGTCACAGCCATATTTGGTAAAATAGACGTTTATCGATTTCTTTTCCTGCAACTAGACTTTGCATATGCCTCATGAGTTGAGAGGGGTTTTATCACCTAACTCAACATTGCTTAACAGGCGATCGAGTGCTTGCCTATCTGAAGGCGAAGTGCATCGCAGTACCTCTTCCTTCAACTTGTCGTAAGGCGCTTCTGTGCTGGGATGAACGATGTATTGCCGTACCTGCTCGGCGACTTCGTCTGGTAGCACTGTACTCAAAATGCCAAATTTAGCTGTCTGTGACGTGAGCTTATTGCTAGTCAAATAATGCTCCA